CTTGGGGGCCCACCCGCCTGTCAGAGTCCCCAGAAGAGGTTGTCCTGCATCCCCTGCCACTCCATTCTCCCCAGCAGGGACCAGCCAGGGCAGCCAAGAGGAGGCTCTCCCGCGCCCTTCCAGGTGTCTGAGCTCTGCCAGGAACATGAATTGCAGTTCCTGAGGGCCTGTGGGTTTGTGGAAGAACAGAAAAAAGCATGTGTCTACACTGAGTTCCCATGGGAGGCCCTGCCGAGCGGACTGTCTCTGCACACTCCTTTGGAGACATCGTTTCCAGAAGTGCCTGGCACTAGTTCCGAGCTGCCTCTGCAGTGCACATGGATTGTTTTACTTCTTTTCTGCTTTAACAATGAGGGAACATGTTTTCTTACTTGAGACGATTTTGCTGCTGGTCCAGCACAGCAAGTCACTGTTGGCTGTGACGGGAACTGAGCCACCTGTGCCTTTCTGATGGCGCCCTTCGCCACTAACACGGTCCCCGTCCTCATTTGTGTAAGCCCCCAGGCACCAGGGTGGCCAAGCCCCATGTGTACTGTTTTCACTGTGGCCCAAAGTAGCGACTCTGCCAGCAGGGTGCTGCCAGAGCCCAGGTAAGAAGGAAGTGCTTCCCTTGAGCTCCCGTTGTCTGTCTCCTGCTGTTCATAAGCTCTCTGGCAGATTGGAGCAGCAGGAGTCTTGGTCACGCTATGTACTTGTGGGTTTTAAATTAACACATTTCATTTACTGCCGCACTAGTCGCTTGCTGGGGGAGGGCCTAGAGCTTCGAGGTGATGACTTGCTTCATCTGGGCCCCAGGAGCAGGGAAGCTGCTGGCCGCTCTCTTCCAAAGGCAGATAGTGATGTTCCAGAACTGGCTAAATTATGCAAGGTCCTTTCTCATCTATTGAAGGTACCAAAGACCTGGAAAGTTTTCACTTGTGCACTCCCTTTCTTACGACTTTGCACTTGTAATCTGTGGCTGCACCGGCTGCTAATCTGGATCTCCGTTTAAACCAGAGTTATACCATAAACTTAGCAAGGGCAGGGACCGTGGCTGCCTCCTGCCATGGTGCTGGGAGCGCTCTGAGAATGTGCGATCAATATTTATTAACATCCTGCCACCACGTCTTGCCCCAGTGCCTGGCTGTCAGTCTCCAGGAGCTGCAGTGTGCAGAGTGAGCTCATTAATGGGTTCCTCACCCTGCTCCGTGCACTGCCCTTATGCCACGGAGCTCGACTCACCTGGAGGCAGATGTGTCCTCACTGTCATCGAAGATGCTGTCACCACGTTAGAAGCTAAAATGAGTCATTTTCTCTCTGAGGATTAAAAGCACCTTATGGAATTTTACTTTACTCTGAAGTGTTTAGCGTGGATTATGTGATTCCTGCCGGCGAGCCCCGTATCTCCATGGGTGGTGTGGCAGAGGCAGCTGCAGGGATCTCAGACCTGGCCTCGCCTATCTCGGACACCTGGGCTCTCTTCCTGTGCAGAGGAGAAAAAGGAGCAGATTTAGTATTTGACAAGGATGCTTGAGCCTGGTGAATGGGGTTAACCTAGAATCAAAGGTTTAAAAAAAAATTTTTTTTTTGGAGCTTGTATCTGATTATTAATATGATATCATTGTGGAAATACAGGAAAAAAACTAAAACCTGTGATCTTATTGCCCAAAGAGAACCGTTGCTATGTTTGGGTCACTTTCTTCATTTCTTTCTTTTTATGCATAGAAGACATTATAACAAACTTAGTATGTTTATCATTTTTATATAATAGTACATCTTGATTTTTCATGAACCTTTGTGTTGTGAGTAATTTTGTCATACTGTGAACTATTTCAAAATATTAACTTTTGGGCCAGCCAGGTGATGTGGTAGTGAATGTGGCTGGATTCCCCCATGGCTGCCTATGAGGTTCAAGTCCCAGACTCGGAAGCTGGAAAGTCACACTGGGTATATGTGCAAGCATGCCCCAAAATTCCAAGAGGAGAATGGAGGTGAGGGATTGCAGCATGGCCACCCCTCTCTCCAGTTAGAGCACGCAACCAATTGCAAAAACTAAAAAAATAACTTTTTATGAGACTGATAATCCATCATGTTAAGGTACCACGGTTTATTTGGGGTGTCTCCAGTGTTTTCGTATTAGAAATCAGTGAGGGGACTTCTCACCTACATGTCCACCCTTGTCAGTCCTGCCAACTTGGTCACACACACTCTCACCCGTTTCCATCTGACTGTCCCCTTCTTGTTGCAGATTGTTTGCTACATGAAGAGAACTTCTCGGTGAGGTGCCCCAAGCACAAGGTAAGTTGGAGGCCCCAAAAGCTCTTGCTTCCAGTAAGACTGGGGGTTGGGTGACTCTTCCTGCAAGACCAAAAGACCAGGCACTGGGGACCTCCCCCTTTGCAGTCCCCACCTGTGCTGAAGGGAGGCTGTGGCATGGGGACCAGCACCAAGGAGGATGAGGAGCCTGGAGAAAGATGTTTTTTGAGGAAAGGGCATTCATCTGCTCATTAGAGAAATTAGGTCAGACTCGATAAAACTGCTTATTTCCCATTTAATTCAGTGGAAACCCAGTTCACAGGTTGGCATTCGGTTCCTAGACCTTTGTACATGGGCAAAGGCATTCTCCCAGACTGACAGTAAGAGCTGGCTCCAGGCTTTGGGAGACACTGTCTTCCAGGTGGCAGTTCCGCTGGGGGACCTGCCGCAGCCTACTCTTTGGGGTGTTTATTGAGGCTGCCTCTAGGAGAGTGTGGAAGACAGGTGATGGCTTGTGTCTGAGCTATTGCACTTGCAGGGAGCCCCAGGAAAGGGCTGGAGTGGAGACTACTGCCATGGTTGTTTCCAACAGTGGCCTCATCTCTTCTGGCTGAGGTCACACTGACACCTGGTGGTCAGTGGCTGCTCTCTGTCTCCACTCCCCAAGTGGGGCCAGAAGGTACTAGAAAGAGGCCATCCAGAGAGGTCTGCCCTCAGAGCGCTCCTGAAAGATGCTTATGCTTTCCTTAAAAATTACTCCTGGACGTGGACCATAGGTTCTTACAGTCTTCTCCTGTTTTACTTAATTCGTATGTTATTTTTAGAATTCCCCTTTATTAATGGTCACATTTTGCCTCTGAAAACCCGTCTGAATATCTCCTGTCAGTACTGACTCTGCTTTTTCTTTCCTTCTCTCTGTGCTGTTCCTGTCCTCACCCCTGCTGGCCTTGGTCCCTACGCTTTCTTCCTTCTGCCCTGTCATGTCTGCTCTTGGCTTTGCCGTCATCAGCCTCCCCTTCCGTGCCCTCTACCCCCCTTGCAGAACAAGACCGCAAAAGGCAGCCTCAGCACAGAGCAGTCGGAGCGGGGGTGAGGGGGGCAGTGTGCTCGTGGGAATGGACAGGACAGCAAGCACAGGTGAGTCGGGGCCAGCTGGACTCCTACCCTCACCCTGCCCAGCCCCCAGCAGGTGTGAGGCCTCTGCCCTCATGTGTGCCCAGGCTGTGCCACCAGCGTGTACTCTGAGGCTCACCACCACCAGGGGAGAAGGTGCCCTTCCACATTGCTGAGCTCCCGGAGTAGCTGGGAAGGTGACCGCTGCTGACCACTGTCCTGACATCGGTTGTGCAGGGTAGACCTGACCTGTGGCCATGGGAGTGATGTGCTGGAGGTGGGACATGGCAGCTTCCAGGACAGACCCTTGAGGCGGGCACCTGCCAAAGCCCCAGCAGCCCTGTTCTCCCCACACTTTCCCTATCTGCTTTCACTCACCATGTTCTGTGAAGCTGATGGTGTGTTTTCCTTTGAGAAACACAAAATTCTTTAGGTTTTGTTACTTAAAGTTTTCCCTGGGACTGTGGAAGATTTCTTCTTACAGATGTATGAAGGGAAGGAAAATCCTCAAGGATTCAGTAGACTTAGGCTCTGAGAAGTTGCATGTGATTGCACCCTTCGCAGGTGTGTGGCTGTGGCTCCTCACCCTTCTGGGGGTGTCTGCGAGCACAGGATTATAGGACTCCAGCCTCGCCCTCCCACTTCACTAAGAGATGAGGAAAATAGGTTGTAAAGCGAAGAGAGAACATCAAAATGCAACTTGTGGCACTCGCTGCCCCTGTCGAGAAGGCCCCTTTGTTGCCCGGCTATGTGAGGAACGGGTAGGGGCTTGGGGGCTTTCTAGGTGGGGGTGGTGTTTTCTCCCTAGAAACAAGGTTGGTAATGAGAGGGATGGAGTGGTTGGAATCCAGTTACTATTTCTTGGGTCACAGGAACCAGACAAACCATTGGAACCCTGAGGACCTGGTGCATATCATTGTACCAGCAGGTGGCTCCTGAACTTCAGTACCCACTAGGCCATACTGCCTGCCTGTGATCAGAGCAAGCCAGCAATTCGGGTGGGTTTCAAAAACCTCCTTTCAGCCTTCGCCATGTTCCGGGGCCTGGATGCTGCCAGCCAGGGCAGGCTATGCCTTCCCCCACTGCTGGCTCTGCCCCTGCTCAGCCTAGTTCTGTAGGAACTATGTTGCATGTTCCAGAACTGTGTCCTGCAAACTGGCTAGGGGAAGAACCATTCAGTGTTCTGTGCCTTTTGGTTTTATCCTGGAATTCCAGCCTGTTTGAGAAAAAGAGAAAGTCTGGGGCCTGAACTAATGGGTTTCGTGTTCTTGTGATTCACTCGGGCCCTCCCAGCTGGTGAGCCCTCAGCTCTTGAGCAGAACAAGCTTCAGCCTCTGTTCCCCCAGGATTGAAGCAGGCATGATTAAGTGGCTGGCCCGTTGCATAGGGGTTGCCTCAGGTATACTGAGGACAGGCTGCATAGCCCCTCAGGGGAAGGATGGGCATGTGCATCCTGTCTCATCCATCAGACATGTCCTGTCTACAGCAGTCATACCGGGGACAGCCATTGTCCTTCAGACCTAGGATGCACCATGGGACTGTGCAGAAGCCCTAGTGATTGGCCACAAAAGTGGCACTCATCTTTGGGGCCCAAGCCAGAATCAGAGCCTCCTGATCCTGTGTCCCACCAAGGTGGGGAGGGGGCAGCGAGTAAGCATGTGTCCCAGTCAGGTCACTCAGCTTCTCTGTGCTTCAGTTTCCTCTGTAAAAAAAAAAAAAGGAATGGCAGGGGACCAGCATCTAGCGTAATGGCTATGTCGCTGGACTCCCATGTAGTCGACTGCGGTTCGCATCAGAGAAGGAACGAGACTGCTTTTTAATGCAAGTTCTCTCCCCTTTCCTGGAGGTTGTCTTGGCCTCAGCAATCAGTGAGGCAGTGGAGACTCTCTGTGCCAGCCTGGAGGAGGGCCCTGTAGAGGCACGAGGAAGCCTGGGCTGTGAGGGCTGGGGGTGACCTGAGAGCCCAGAGTCAGAACAGGATGACACAGCTGCTGGCCACGTTCCTGAGGCCTGGCAAGTAGAATACCAGGTGTGTTCTACCTGAGCACAGGAACATTGTACTGCCGGCCCTCCAGAGGGTCTTCCTGCTTGTTGGCGATTCCTGCCAAGCAGTTAGGAAGTGCCTGTGGGCGAAGACAGATGTGTGCATGTGAACATACACTCTGAATTCCACACGCACCGATTTCTTCACTGTTAGGCCTGTTTATGAGCTTAGGAAGCAGAAAGGAGTGGTGATACCAGGTTTTCCTGAGACTGGCTTATTGGTTGGGGTCGAGGAAGACGCAAGGTGATTCCCTGTGACACAATTCTCAAGAGTGCTGAGATCAGCAGAGAGTAGGGAGAGGGAGGCTGCTACCACCCCAAACTGCGGTACCAGTTTTCTCTACTGTTCCTTGGAATCCACTGTCTGAGACTTTTGCACATGGGATGGTTTGTAGGGCATTCCACGAGGCCCTTGGGACAGCCGTCTACCCTGCACAATCATCAGAATCTCCTCAACCCTAGGCCGGAAAAGGAGAGGAACCAGCATCAGCAGGTCCGGGGGCCTCAGGCCCAAGGGATTGGGAGGACTCCCGCATTCCAGCTCTATGTGATCCTCAGGAAAGAGGCCAAGACCTGCCCTCTGTCAGAGGCCATGGGAATGATCTTGTTCAGTGAGAAGAACTGGCTTTGTCAGCCAGAGGAACTGGGACAGAACTGAGAGGCCAAGTGCCCTCAGCCACAGGCCCACTTGGACCTATCTGAGCTCCTCCAGCTGCCCATGCAGGCAGGGTCACACCAGGTCAAGGACTCTTCCCTGGTTCTGGTCTCTTTGTGCTCTGGAGAGGCGGGCACACCCTGAGGAGCCCTCAGGGCCTGGGCAGGCGCCATTGACCAGGTCCGTAGCTGCAGGGTGGTGCAGGGGAGGGGGACCTTGGCTGTGTCCTGGGACAGCAGCACAGCTGCAGAGGGTTCTGAGCCCGGGCTCAGGGCCTCCAGAGAACAGGGTCTTGCAGAGGTCTCTAGTACTCAGGGATTGGTCCTTGTCTTCCAGGTGAGACTGTGGAGATGAGAGGTGGTGGACCCTCTGAAGGAATGGAACTCACCCTCCCGTGCAGCCACACCCCTCCCTGCCGCCCGC